AGGAGCCGGGATACGGCCAGCCCCTGGTGTGTGTGTGTGTGTTTGTGTGTGTGTGTGCGCGTGTGTGTGCATGTGTGTGTCACATCTCCAGCTCGGGCACACAGCAAGCGCTGCACTCCCCAAGCATCCCCGCTCCCCGCAGATGCGCCCTCCTGCATCCCTAGTGTGTCTGCCCCACACTACCCTACCACCCACGGACAGCCAGCTGGAAGCCCTGCGAGGAGTTAAGCTGCAATTTCAAGTCCTCTTTGTACAGAGCTGCATGCCTGCTTGGGATAACAAATAGTCAGCAGCACCCCTCTGCCCCATGCAGATGGGGCAGTGAGGGCTCAGGGCTGCTCACACTTGGGGTGGGGGGGGATCATATTGAGGTGCCTTGGTATAGTGCAAGAGCTAGTGGGCATTCTGGTTTGACTGCACCAGCTTGTGCTTGCAAATGTGGAAAATGGGAGAGAGAAAGGCTAGAGAGCCAGGAAACTCAGCTGAGGTTCTGCATGTAAGCTTAACTCTGATCTGGTTACTCCCTTTTTTGGTCTGGGCTAGTGTCTTGTCTCCTTCCTGCTGGAAAAAGCATGAGGTTGGGGTTTAGTTGTGCTATGAAACATCACCAAGGTTTCTCACTTCAGTACAACTCAGCATGGCATTTTAGCTTGTAAATGTTGCAAATGCCATTATCAAAACATTCCTTGGTTTTGCAATGTTAATGTGCAAGGTTTTTCTAAGCTTTGGTTAGGAATGAGTGGGCCTTGAGCCCGTTCTTGGCCACACTTAGAACCAGTGGGAAAGCATTGTTTGGGCTTCAACACAGGAAGGGTTATATGAGCTGGGAAACTAATTGGGAGGGTCCTCCCTCTGAGGTCTTTCTTCCTTCCACAGACATCCCTTCCTCCAGCCCTGAGTGAGCGAGACAGTGTCCCTTCCTAGGGACTAGGATGCCTGATTTTTTTGGTGGCAACACTGCAGACTTGAAAGGAATCAAAACCGCTGACATGGTAGCATGAGTCTCCTGTAAGCTCAGGTGAAGGTCTCTGCAGAAGTCCCACTTGCGTAGGTGGGAGCCCAAGTCTCTGGCAATTTTTTTAGTTTCAAGCCTAGAAATGCCCTCCATGCTCCAGCTGAAACCTGCTGTTGGTCAAGATGATTTCCAGTATTTGCCCTACAGCATAAGTCTTGTTGGTGGAAGAAGGAAGAGGGAGCTGAGTTCCTGTCTGACTCCAAAATTGGGGGTGCACAGTGAAGCTGCTAGTCTTATGCCTGCACCTGCCTTGGAAGGGAAGGTAGGAAGGTGTATCTATGGGAATGTCCCATGCACTGGGGATACAGAGTGCAGGAAAGCAGTGGGGACAAAGCAGCACTGTGACACATCTTGAAGGGATTGCTTTGTTTGTTTTTTTTTTTCTCCTTGGAGGGTGGTTATACCACAAAAGTAAGAAGTGGTAAGGGAGTCTCCTTCCTCCAAAGCTGAACAAGGAGCTCTGCTCAGATCATAGAAAAGTCATGTCGCAGCCACCCTACTCCTTTCTGAGGCCTTAGAGATGCCTTAGAGATTCCCAGCCCTGTCATAGGAATCAGGTTCAGCTATTAATAGACTTTTATCTGATTTTTACGCTCAAAAGAGATGATTTATGATCAGCTAGGGCAATCACTTCAGTCCTGCTCAGTGTGCGAAAGTTGTTTGTTTAGATGTGAGAGGAAATTTTGGCTGGGACTGTAAACCACTTCACTCTCAGCCACATCCAAATATACCGCTAATACCCTTGGTAAAGGTCTAAAGGAGCAGTTTGGCCTTGGGCAGCCTATTACTTGGTGCCCAGCCTGCTGGCTATGGGCATGTGGGAAGCCAGTGAGAGAGGGTCTGCCAGGGTCACAGTGCTGGACCTGCTGGTCGGCATGTGCCATTCGATTTAGAGGTGGGATTTGACCAGCGCAAGGAGCCTTGGACAATTCCTGCCCAGCACAGACTGTACCAGCTGGGTGTCACCAGATAATCCTAGGGTATTTAGTACCCGGGACATCAGCCAAAGATGTGGTGGCTGGGCGTCTGAGGAGCACTGAGAGAGAGGCAACAAGCCCATCCCCTTGCTGAAATCCCTGCTACCTCTGCAGCCCTTCTCACTGATAATCCTTGATTCTCTGCAGTGGCAGGAGGCAGATATCCATATGGGGGGAACTCCGTATGGGACTTACCGTGGGGAAGCTGCAGGCTGTGTGGGACCCGGGGCCAAGGAGAAGTATTCCAGCTCCATCTTGTGGCAACGGCAGGATATTCCTCCCTAAAGATGACCTTGGAGGTGGTGAGGAGGCTCTGAAGTGTCAGCTAGTTTAGTTACTTAAACATTAGTGAGTAGAAATACTTGGTAGACACCATTTCTGGAGGGATTAGGAGATGCTGCAGGACCCTTGGGGAGCCCGGGTTGAATCCTGCCTGGAGCTGCGGCTGACTCCTCTTCCTTCTGCTGCGCTGTCAGTGTGTGCAAGCTGCCCATGTCTCTGTGGTTACGTGCTTGGGGCACTGCACTAATTCCATCACCCATGCACATGTTGCCTTCCCCACGTATTGTTTTGCACCGTCAAAGCATCATTGCCAGCACAGGGGCCGATGGAGTTGTGGAGCCCTCCCACCAAAAACCTCCACTTCAAGCCTTGCAGGAAAAGCTCAGTGGGCACCACTGCCCCAGTATCAGCAAAAGTTAGATGTGGATCTTGGTGGGGAAGCATGGACCCCACGCCTGCAGGACACTCTTTGGCACATCTTTGAACATGCACAAAGCAGGACTTGGGGAAACCCCCAGAGACGGGGCCCAAATCGGAGCTCTTGTGCCATACCCACCAACTAGTCTCACACACAGATCCATAGGTGCTCAGTCATGGCTCCTGCTTAGGAGATCTTTCAGGAGAGAAATAGGAAATTCAGGAGGCTGAGATGTCTCCTGAAGGCGAGCAAGGGATCTCTTCTGAGGAATGGTCCTGGCAAGCTATTTAAGTGATGGAGGCAGAGAAGGAGGATGCTCCTTTCTCTGTCTCCTTCTCCTAAAGGTTTAGGCATGAACTTTGTTCCAGGGGATGATCCCAAGAGCAGGAGGAGCTGGAAGGGTGCCTCTACCCCACAATTAAGAAGGTTCTTTCCAGATGCCTTATGCCTACCCTGGAGCTCCCGAGAACAGACTGTAGAAGGGCACAGCTTCTCTGTACTGGAAACACCTTGTGCCCAGCAGATTGTGAAGCTTCGGGCTGGAAGGAGAAGAGGCAACACTCCAGCAGGACTGGAGACTCTTTGGGGGCAGAGGCGTACTTACTGTAGAGTTCTTTCTGAGCACAGTGAGACTCGAAGAACCAAGTTTCCTCAGTGGTGACTGCTCTAGCAGACGGGGTCTCCAGAGATGGACTAGAATGTCCCTTTGCAGCCCCTATTGCTGGTCCCGGCTTGCTCAGGCACCCTTCCCACCATGCTTTGTGAGACAAATATTGGCATTACCGTTCCTGCCATCCTGGCCAGCTCCCTATTCCTGGTGCCTGTTACCGGTGTCCCCATCATTGCCAGTTCTCCTTCCCCAGGAGAGAGGACTTGGTAGCCTGAGAGCAGCATGTAACCACTGCTCAGCTACTTTGAGGTATGGGATGCACAGGGTTTACACCCAGAGGAGGACACCCTTCTCCTCCTGTGGCTTTGCCCCGTGGTGAGTTAATACATGTGAGTGTAACCTTGCATGAAACGTTCATGCAATTTGCCTTGCCTCAGCCTCAATGTTTGCAGAGAAAAATCATTTGAATGGAGTTTATAGAATCAAGTAATTAAAAAGGCTCTGCAGAGCCATCTTGTTTCCATCAAAAGCTTTCTGGAAGAACACAGCAGTTTAAAGGGATGGAGTCTGAATAAAATATACACAATTTATTTATAGGAGGTTTACAGCTGTGTAGTGTTGGCTTTCTGTTTGGACCACTCTCTGATCTTGTGCAGCGTGACACTTCAGTGCCTTTGGTGATGAAGACATGTTGATAGCTTGTTTGAACATGGACATGTCACAAAACAGATTTAACAAGAGTGTAATGACAGGTTTCTTGCAACTAATGAAATGATTAACAAAAGTAAGAGGCAATAAGTCAGACACATATCCTACACCATCTAGGGGAGACCGGAGAATGACAATCGGACCCTCCCTTCTTTCAGACAAAATATTTCTGTTTGCTTAATTGAAATAGAAAAGACATCAGCATTAGTAATGGCATTTCAATACCTACCATCCCCAACCTGACTTTAAAAACAAGTTATAAAAAAATGCAACATTGGAAATGAAGGAGGAAAGAAAGCTTCTGCTCTAACTTAAAGATTTCCTTTTAAAAATAAAAAAAAATGAGGAGAAATAAGAACAAAACTATTACTAATATTAAGACATTTTGGTCCTGATGATATCGTATGATATTTTTGTTAAAAAAAGGGCTACTAAAAAGCTGCCGTTCCTCTCATTATGGCTTGATTTTCTGTAAGAAGGAAGGAGACTGGCCATGGCTATTGAGGCACCCCACTCCTCGGTGAGCTTTAGCACTGTTCCTTGGGGACTGAGGTGCTGCTTGACAAGAGTAAAAGGGCACTCCTTGGCCCAATGGCTCTAGCTTGCTGAAGTTATTGGTAGCCCGATTTCCTGAGAAAACAAGGCTTAATGCAGGCACACTGGCTACACCCAGCTGCCTATGATGTTGCATTATTGACCCCCATCACAGCAGCTTTTTAGTTTGATTTCAGCTCAATTTGCTAGGGAGTAAGGCTCTCAGAGGTTCAGATTTCTCAAAGATTCATAAATTGGGCAGCTGGATTGGCACCAGAGATTGTTAGTGCATTTACTGAGGAAAAGGCTGCAGTGTGAGCTTGCTATTATTAGATGCAAAGAAATCAAAGGGGAGAGACTTACAAATGCCTTCAAAGCAGAGAAAGCTTCAGCTGGAATTAGCCCTTGCCCCTGAAGTCTACCCACAGCCTGCCAGACCAGGGATGTTCACGGTATGACTTCTGACAAGATCCATTCTGTTGAGGATGCCCTCAACCCCTGTTCCCTATTTTTACTGCATCTCCCCACATTGCCCCTTGCCCTGACAGCGCCTCTGTAAAGGCAGCTGGAAGAGCTGGGAGGGAGCTTCAAAACTTTCCTGCATCGAGGATGAAAACACGTCCACTTCCAGCTTAAAAGTATTTGCAGCTGGTGTATTCCCATTCCTTCCTGTGATGTTCTGCCCCACCTAAATAGCTCTTCTCCCTCCCAGGTGAGGTATTTTTAGGCATCACATTCCCTTACACCTCTCACTGTGAACACGAGCTTGCGAGGTCTTCTCCTAAGACAGCGTCCCCAATCCACAAACCAGAGATACTGGTTTTGGACCCTCAGTGCTGCTTCCAGTTATTTTCAGTGATAAGCCCCACGCACCACAATGGGCTTAAATCAAAATAAATCTGAACTAGAGGGCTGCCCAAACTCAAGGGTTTAATTTGACCTTGGGAGGGGTCAAGACATTGTTTACCAGCCTAGGCGCATCTGAGCCAATTCTGAAAGCTGACAAACTCATCCAGGTCCCAGTGATGGCAACAGGAGTTGGAAGGTGTTCAACACAAGCTAGGAAAAATTGGCACCTGGAAAGAGCATCCTGTGGGCCACTGCCTCCCTCCAAGTCCTGTAAAAAAAGATCTAAGAAAACGAGCAATTTAGTCAACAACCTAATGCATACCCACAAGAGATGAGCACCTAAACTCCGAAGATGAGGAAAGGGGAACCTGTAAAAATTAAGTTGCACTGTATGCTTCTTGATGCACCAAGAACTGAACTGGCAGCTAACCTGATTTTGTAGAACAATTGACCACGTTACAGACGTAGCAGTTTTTTATGAAATTAAAAAAAAAAAAGCTTTATATAGCACAAACATTGACATTTAGTAAGTCAGACGGAAACCCTGCTCACTATGATAAAAGAAGGTGTGCATGTTCACCTGTCCTTGCAGACAAATTCTGCTTAGGCAAAAATTTACTGAGATTGCCTTGTACCGATTTTAAAAAGCCATTTACAGGAAGCATTACATCACGTGTATTCCCTTCCTCTTGTAAGCAGGTGACTGCAAAAGATTTGGTTCATATAAAATCATTTACATCTGACAGAAAATCCCTTAACTTGCACCATTTTTAAAGGCACACTAAAAAAAAAAAAGTAATTCTAAACAACAAAATAAAAATGCCTTGAAACCTGCCTTGCCTGCTATTGAAAGGACAGCCAAGGATCTGTGGTTTTGCTTATCTGGGATGGTTTTATAAGAAGCCATATTCTGCCACCCAGTGGAATAAGCAAGAAAAACCCAGTATTCATTGCAAGCAAGGCACAGACAGAACATGGCCCTAGAGGCAGGAAGACTGTCCTCAGTCCCCTGAAGATGCACTGGGGTTGTGCTTGTGAGACTGGATCTAGTCCAGCGCACCTAATTCTCCAGGCCAATAGGCCAGAAATTAAAACTGAGAGATGGACACTGATAGTAATTAAATATGCCCAATGTTTTCGGGCTGCACTGGGAGCAGTGCTCCTCTTCTCTTCAGCACAAACAAAGACCTCACTGCTTTTTAAAATAATTTGGGAAAGCAAGGCACAGAGAAATGATGCACTGGAAATCGGTATGCAGCCATAAAGATGAAGCCCAGTCAAACAAAGCTTCCCACCCCCTGGACGTGCCACTCCGGCCTTCAGAGGAACCAATATCCTCCTCTTCTCTGAACGCTGAACGTACCCAGCAGACTTGTGCCTGTGACAATTCACCCTAGTGATGGGGCTCTGGCATCTCTCTCCCACTCAGCGAAAGATTGGGTTCAATCTGTAGGGATGGAGACTGCATGGAGTGATGGAGACAGCAGGTATCAAGGCAGTTTGAGAGGCACGTGCAGGAGACCAGAGCCACTCAAAAACCTCACCCTGAAGAACAGTTGTCCAGCTACGTCTGTTGGTGGCCTTGTACCTTCAGAAAGGCATGGAGCTGAACAGGACTCGCAGTGAGACAGCTGGTCCCTAAAATGATGGAGCCTTTCATCTTGTTTAATAGCAGGATAGGTTCGCCCTTGTTGACTGGGATTTGGGACTGTGGGAATGTCCTGGTGCTTTTTCTTTCCAGTTGCTGTGTGCAAACTAGTGCCCAGAAAACATCCCAAATCCCTAGTCCATTCTTCAGTTTGGCCATCCCTTTTCCTGAGATGCCTCCGCATATAAGCAATTAAATGGCGGTTCACTGGAAATGACTCTCCACACGCAAGTCTAAACCAAGTGGACATACTGAAGATGCACAGAAGTGCCTGGTGGGACCACGGTGGGCACACGTGTGCGTGGTGGCATGTACATGCCAGCCCCATGTAAACAAACAGCACCATGGCGTCCTGCTCCGGCTGTCAGAACACACAGAGTGCCCACAGCGATCCCTCAGGACACACGTCGGCGGCATGGGCAGCGGAAGGTGCAAGTCAAAGAACCATTTTGGATCCCCCAAAAGGCACCATTTTTTTAAACATCAAAAACACAAGACTGGCTCCATTGAGTGGAATGCATGCATAGTTCATATACACTTGCAGGTGGCATAAATGCTCTATATGTGTGTATATATATGTGTGTGTGTATGTGTACACGTAAATATATATATACATAAGTGGCACCAGAGGAGGAGTCCTTGAGTATTTAGACATTGGTGAGGATGTTACTACTGAGTAGCCTCACAGCGATGGTTCCGGGAAGATCATTTGATCTCCTGTTCCCCTTGTCCTGGAGATGCAGTGTGTGCACTGACTGCTGGTCACTGGGATCCCCCGTGAGTGCTACTTGGCCCAAGAACTCGTCACTTATTAAGTTATAGTTCCAGATCTGGAGAAACAAAATAGACACGAGGGCAGTTCCTTGCAGCCAACCTTGCTGTATCGGGGAAGAGATGGGGTTACTGGGGGCATGTTCTGGGCTGGAGCTGTGGAGGTTGTTGAAGTGTATGGGTTTCACTCTGCAACTGAGGGGCTAAGGACGTGCACTCACCAGTTTTTGCAGTGGTGGCAAGTGGCTAAGCTGCATGAATTGGCTGTGCTCAGCCATGGGGAAGGGACCTGCTGTGGAGAGGGGTGAGCATAAGGAAAGCGTGGATAGGGAGGTCTGAGTGAGTCAGGCTCCTGACTCCTCAGATGACTGCTTGCCTGTCGAGTACCTGAACAATGATAGGTTGTCTCGGCTTCTTGCGGTAGAAGAGACCTTTCACATCAAATTCTGGAGCCACTGTATTTTTCTTCACTGGAGAGCGAACCTTTTCCCCTTCACATTTTATGATCACATAAGGGTCTGCTCCTGCGTAGAGAAAAGGGAATTTATGCTTTGTTGTAACTGCTCTAACTCCTCAGAGCCCTTTTCCAGAGGCCCCATGCAGCAGTTTTCCTCCATACCCCACCAGAGGAGACGGGAATCTATCAAAAAGTTCATGATAGGTCAGATACTATCAGAGCACGGCTGGAAAGTATCTGAGCTTCCAAGAGAGAGAAAAGGTGTCCCTAATTAGTCAGCACTTCCCCCTTATAAAGCAAGTGCAGATTCTGAGAATTTCAGTAGAGAATGAGTTATTGCTATGGAAATTTTAACTGCCAGAATGCATTTTCTCATTGTGGGCTTTAGTGAACATGATGGAAATGCAGACCAGGTGGATGTGTTTTTTTGTCCAAGGGCAGCATGGGAATGAGGAGGAACAAATAACCCCCTTCTGGAGGCCAGGGACTTAATAACCTCCTCTCTGATTGCCAGACCACCTCCTCGTTCTTGGCTTGTAAGGTCCATGGCTCCCCTGGTGAGACACGGCTGCCAGATTTCACAGCTGTTTTTCCAAACCAGTCTTGTCTTTTGGGATGTCCAATGAAATCCTCATATTCCACCAGCTGGAGCCAAATTCCAGTCTGTAGATCACTATTTCCAAAGTAGTCTGAAAGGACTGGGCTGGGAGATGAGAGAGATGCAATTGCACTGGAAACCACCAAACCAGCAGGCTGCTGGCAATGGGAGCTGAAAAGCTGCAATACAGCTGGGAAAAGCCATTCCTGGGGGCATTTTCCTGAAAACATGCTTTATGGCTTCAGGATCCGGAGATATGCTTATCTAAAGGAGAGAAAGATAAATCTCCTTGCTTCTATGAAGAGTTCAGAGACTTCCGGATACAGAGCTCCCTGCACTGTTACAGGTACCCTGAGCTATTGTGGGTAACCTGAGAAAAATCAGCCTTCCCAGGGCAAGATTTCCACCCTCGCCAAACAGCAGACAGGAATGGAGGGCTCCTTTTCTGGCATCTGATAAGGACGGAAATTGGGTAGTATCTGCCCTAAGGATAGATCCTGCTCATTACCTCCAGAGCTCCAGTGATATGCTGCATAGCTAATAAGGCTTGGATTAAAAAATATAAACATATATATATATATTTAAACTAATTTTTGAATTTACATTTTTTAAATTTAAGTTCTGAATTTTTTAAGTTTTAAATTTGTCTAAAACATGCTTGAATAGTCCTTGCTACATTCAGGCCCACACGCTTGGCTTAGAAGAGGGAGAAGAAAAGCTAGGGTCTGTCCATTCACATCATGGAGAGGCATTCACTTCTCTAATCACAACCTCTGGACCTTCCACCCGTACTCCAATGATCTCTCAGTGCAAGTCATCACTACCACTGGGTTTCTTGGTCCAGACATCGCAGGAGGACTGACCATGGAGCTCTTGCCATGAGCTTCTGCGTGGCTACAAGATACAGGGTGGGCATGGTACAGGTGTCATGCAAGAGAAGTGTTGGCCGTCAAAATTGCATCAGAGCATGGAATATGAAAATTAACCTTTAGAGACTGAGGAGCAGGGAGACAAGCAGTGTGCTGTGCTGTTAGTAGCTGAAATCACCTTAGAGTGGCTCTGAGGAGCTGTGTGGAGCAGGATTCAATGAAAATAAAGGCAGAGGTCCTTGACCCACACCATCCCACCCACCCATCCCACCTCAAGCTCAACTTAACCTATCCCCTACTGATAGTTCAGCTTCCAGTGATGAAGATTTCCCCATCACGCATCACCCTATTCCATTGCTTCTCTGCCCTTGCTAAAAAGCTTTTAAATAAGATTCCTGATTTCTACAACTTCAAGAGTTTTGGTGAAGTTGTGGGAGTGTCTTCTAAGAATCCTAGACAACAGCTTAAATGTAACATCTCCTAGATCATGCCCACAGCATAGAGTTTGATACTCCATGGCCCTTCTCCCCTGATAGCCAGATGCTTTCAGTGAAGGAGTATCTGAGGACAAAACAAATCCCAGACATCTCCCATCTCATGAAACCTTATCTTTTCCCACTGAAAAACTGTCTCCCAGCTCCTCTGCGACCAGACAACAAGCAGGGAAAGGCCAGTACCTCCTTGGGTGTCCTGATTCTTGAGCCCAGCTGCGGCAAGGACGTGGATCTGGGACACCACTTGCGGATAGCCACACATCCCACTCCAGCAGGTGTGTGGCGGCTCATCCAGCGTCAGTTCTCTGCCAGGGGAGAAATGTGCTGCCTTTGTGAGGTGCTCAGCCTCACCCCCACAGGCGGGCCTGAGAGTACGCTCTACTGAGAGAGGAAGACTGTGCAGCATCCCCTGCCAGACTCTGCTCCCCCCTCCAGCCTCCTTTTCATCCTGAAGTGAGAGATGCTCTACCATGCTGCGCTGGGAAGCAGGGTGGGAGCGTCTCTGCACGTCTGCACTGAGATTTGTAAGTGCCCTGCCTCTTGGCCACCCTTGAAAGGAAGCCAAGTGCCAGCTCTGAGCAATCCCAATCAGGACATATGTCCGAAGCACAGGGATCTCTCCAAATGGCCAGTTCCTCCCAACCAGTGTTCTTGCTCCTTACCGGCAATCTGAAGGCACATCTGTGAAAATCCTGAGAAGGAATTCGCCTACATGACCAGGGTCAAAGGTGGTGGGGATGATGACGTAACGGCCTTCCTGCAGGTCTGTCCTCAGGAAGACGCTGCGAGAGTTGATGTAAATGGAGCTGGCCACTTTCTGCTGCAGGGTGTGCATCCGGTAGTTCCTGTTCAGCTCGACCTGAGCAGAGATCACAGTTGGACTATCAGCAGGATGTTGTGGAGTGACGACATATTGGTATCCAACTTGGGGGGCCAGCCTGCAAGGACTGATCCCACAGGACTGCGATAGCTGGAGTTCAGAAAACCAGCACAACGGTCCCAACTGAGCCAGATGGAAAAGAAGCGTGGACGTGGCTCTCCCACTTCTGTTAGCTCAGAGACTTGTTCGCTGTTATGTGCCTGCCTGACACCAGGGTCCCAGCAAGTAACACATGAGGATCAGTCTAGCGGATATCAACACTGCGAGATAACAGACTAACTATTGCTTTTAGCAGGGAAAACCTGCACTGTCCATCTCTGAAATTTTTCCTAAGCCAAAGAGTTTGGATGGGGTGTCAGTCTTTTCCCCACCTTTGTAGCTTCCAGTGTCAGATGTGATTATACCAGGCAGCAACACATTCATGGTACTTATTATGCTCAAATGATTTCACACTCCAGGTATGTAGAGAATCTCATTCACTGTGAATGAACAGAAAGTTTTTTCCCACCACATGTTCCTCATCTCAGATTGTGGTGTGGTAAAGAATATTGCAATCCTTTCTTAGGATTGTATCAGCTGAAGGAAGTGTGAATCAGGGGAGGGTTTTGGGGTGCAAGGTGAAACCTGTGCTTAAAGACAGGAAAAGAGGAGAGAAGAGCTACAGCCCCTGTGTAAGGAAGTCCCAGAGCACAACCTACTGCTGTGCGGGGTGGGCAAGTGTCAGGAGTTGATGCCTGTTCTTGCCCACCCTTCACCCTCACTTCAAGGGTCTGACTTGGTTTGCACCAAGAGGGAGCAGTAACACTTGTCTATTCCCCACATCCTTCTTCAGATACAGTCTGCCTCTTCACCATCACTTGAAGGGTTCAGGCTGGGTTGAAGGTACCCAAGTGACAACCAGTATAACGACTAAATGCATGATACCAGTTGTCATGCAGGACTGGAGTATCACTCCACCTCTAATGCATCTACTGGGGGGATTCAGGCCAACATGAAGGATCCATGGTCTACCTTATGGATATCAAAGCCTATGGCCAGGTTCTCTCCTTTGCCCTCTTTGCGGCTGGTCCTTTTCGGTTTCTGCTGGATGGAGATCAGTACTTCATCTTCTGCCTTCTTCACATCAAACACATACTAGAAGCAAAGTAAGGAAGGTAAGGGAGGCCTTCTACTAAGACAGGAGCACAGGGGTGGACACATAGTGGATTTAACCTCAGCTTCTCCCCACCCACCTCACTGTAGGGACAACCAGGCTTCAGTTCCAGCATCGAGAGCCTGCACCCACTGCTCTTGGGACTTGACATCATCTTACCAAGCCAGAGATTCCTTTGGCTCATCTTAGAAAATACTGGCAAATCCAGGACTGGTGGTTGAATTGCCCTGCCAGATCCTATGATCAGTATGGTATCTGAGCATTTCACCCCTTGCAGTCTGCCACAAGTTCCACTAAAGGCATGGAAGGAGGAACTGATGTTTACAGAGACCTGAGAAGCATAGGAAGGCTAACACAGAGCTGGGAGCAGAAGACCACCCTCCCGCATCCTTGATGACAGCTTCTGCAATGGACCAGACTGTCCTTCATCTACCTGTTAGGTGAAGGGCTAACAGGAACTTATCTCACATGTTACTGACAGTCCTAGTTTAGAGCAGGACAGAAGAGCTTGTTCCGGGAGATTAACTCCAGGACAGGGCCTTTTCTGAAGGCCCAGTTAGATGAACTGGCCCAATAGGCTACATCTGTCCTAGTAAATAAACAGTGCCAAGGTTTGGACAGAGGAATTGGAATTTGATATTTTAGACACCTAAATCGCTGGAAACGGTTCCTGACTCTGGTTGACTGGCACCGCTAATACTCTCCCAGACTACATCATGGCGCAGTTTGGAGTCTGTTTGTGCCAGGGGCTCTCTACACTATGCACTTGGATGCAGTTTCTCTGTTAAGAGGGATAAGGTTAAAAGAGTTGGTCTGGATGCTGGTCATGCTGCGCTAGGGTTCTCAGCCAGGGAATGGTCCTGGGCATACTAGGACAGAGGTAGCCTCAGGTCTGGTAGCTGTTTTAGCCTTCTAGGTCCCTGTAGGAGACTTAAGGCCCTGGAAGCACGTGTGAGGGCTCCAGAAAGCCCTCTGCTCTATGACTCACTTGGGGGTTTTGCAGAAAGGTGTCCTTGTGATTGATGCAGCCTCCACTGCGGTTCTTCAAAGGGTCTTCATTTCTTGTCCATGTCCCATGTAGCACTGCCTCTTCCCAGGTCTTGTGGATGCTCAGGTAGGACGTGTTGATGAGACGACACTTGACGATGTCTGTGAAGTATTTGCAGAAGTCTTCAAAGGTCATCCTAAGACAGCAAAGGACAGAGCTGGGTTGTGCTGTTTCCTTCCTCTGCAAAGTTTGCTGCACGGAATTTTTTGATTACCTGCTATGGTGAAACCATGTGGGGGTAGTCTCCGATGGTGGATGACCAACAAAAGCGATGGAGATACCCTTCTGCATGAATGCAGTAAACACTACTCCTTCAGTTCAAGTAATAGAACCATGCACTTTTGGAGTGGGAGGAGCAGAGTGGTGGCCCTTCCTCCGCACATGGGTACATGTTGTATTGAAATGTGTACCTGCGAGTCTGTTATATTCAGCACATTCATACCATTGGCACAGGGCATTTCCAGTGTCTTACTAAAAGCAATCATGGCCACTCTAAGCTAATAACCACGGGCTCAAGATTCTAGGGCTTGGATGGCCCTTTGCTCTGGATAACTGGTTGCCTGGAAATGACTCTGACCCCTCATGTGATGGGAGGACTCATTTGACATGGCCCATGGGGAGAAAATCAGCAGGGACTCACCAGAACTCCCCATCGTCTTCCACTGTCATCCCCATCTTCTCTCTCTCACTTTTGCTCACTTTCTGCCACTCCTCAGAGCTGTGGGAAGAACGTAGGATCATTACTGTGAGGGCAAGGGAACACAGAAGAATTCAAAGGGGCTACTTGGCCTTAGTAGGATCTGTCAAGGGCATGACGCCTGTATAAAGCTCAGACCATGCAACAGGCCTTCAGAACAGAGAAAGGCGTACAGACTTGTTCCTAGGGACGGCATAACCTAACCCATACTGGTCTTGTTAGCACATTTTTTCCGAAGATGGGGGGAATGTATCATGACGTGGAGCTTTAACTTTCTTTCTGACCACTGTAGCTGAACCCAGCTCAGCCAGATCTTGTTTGGCTGGTGCTGTCACGACTGCTGTGACTCTGGCCAAAGGCTCTGGCTACACCTGCCCCTGGTTCTCCACCCATGCCCAGATACCACAGCAATCAGCGATGCCAGAAGCCTAGTCTGCTAGGTGCTGTTTTGGTTGGAATGGGACTGGGAGCAGAAAGCTGAGCTACATCCATCCGTCATCTTGAATGAAAAAGCTGATGATTTCACCACAACACCCACCAGAGCCTCAATGACACAAAGAAAGCTTGGCAAGCTCAGCCACCCTCTTGCTCCCCTCCAGGGACCCCAATGCAAGGACTGCATCTACCCTAGCAAAATAGCAGGGCTCGGTCATGGGTTGAAGCAGCATCCCACAACTGCCAATACAATGGTATCTTACTGGAGTGGATGTAGCCAAAGCGGCTTACACTCAGGGCTTGCTTTAACCCAGCCTTCTCCACCAAAAACAGGCGATGATGTTGCTTGCCCCACTCACGTGTCGCTCCAAGGGCCGTTCCACTCCCGCTCACCCCATGGGTTGCGCATGCGGATCATGTCCAGCTTCTCTGACTTGAAGAAGGACAGCAGGCCGTGTCCCAGGCGGACTTTCCGCACATCCGTCACTGCGTATGCATGGCCCTTCACCAGCCCACAGGCCAGGCGGGTCTCCATGTCTGCTGCTGACGTAGCCTGGGCAAGGGGACACAGACGGCGCTCGCATCAGGGGGACGTGACTGCCTTTGCCTGCGCCCTGGCTGCAGCTTTGAATTTCACCTTTTGCCTTCATAAAGCTCTCTAGCTTCACTGTAGGGAGGGCAGCTGCCTGACTGGGACAAAAGAGAGCTCAAATTTCCCTGTGAATTGTTCTGAGCCGAAAAGGAGAGCAAGGGTGCTCAGGGAGAGATAGTCAGTTGCCTAAGCATAAGTATCATGTGTCATTTTAGATGCTAGATCTTTTCTGGCCTTCACTTGCTGCATGAAATCTCTAAGTTCCCACACTGCCAATCAATACAGCTCATCCTACTGGTTATACTGGGAGGTCAGGCACCCACTGTTGTGGAGATGTCCACTGGCAGACATCTAAATGCCTTACTCTAGAAGTGAATCCTTCTCTTAGCATTTAAAGGATGGTGGGATGAGTCTGGGATCTTGGACATCGCAATGAGAAATAAACAGGCTTGGCATCCAGGCTTGATTTCCTTTATCATCCATAGGAACCCCTAGGCACAATTCATCTGACTTATTTTAGATGTCTCCAACAGAGTAAAATGAGATGCATCCTAAAATGTCTTTTCCTTTCCTTTTGATGAGCTCTGATGTGGAGCTCTCTGCAATGAGAACATCTGTATCTGGTCACACAGCTTCCACCCTCTGCAGAGTGTCTGCAGAGTGTGTCCCTAGCATAAGACTGTCTTTTCAGGGATTATGATGTGATGAGAGACATCACCCAGGCACAAAAGCAGCTCCAGCTTTATCTGCGGGGCCCTGAGCACTCAGAGGTGCAGATGGACTTCAGACCACATGTGCAGGGGGCCCAGTCAATGGGACCCTCAGTTTGCCTCCAAGGAGACGCGTGACCATATAGACAACGTTGCTTACTTTGATGGAGCAGCTGATGAGGCCTCCCCGGCTGTGCACCTTCAACACACGCTCAAAGAGGAGGTTCCGCTTGGCTTCATCAGCAACGTAGTCTCCTTCAGTCAGGTCAATAGGTTCAGAGACCCCACCAGTAAAGTCTACAAGGGCATCAGCTGTGTTGCCTCCATCCAGGGCCTCATAACAGCCTGACAACCTGAAAGAGGGCAAGAGGGTCGGAACAACAGCACCAGCTTGACATTTTAAGGGGTCTGGGACCGTTTCCGGGGCAGCTGGGAGAATAGACATTTGTAGGAAGTCATTCAGCAGACGGGGAGAGCAAAAAACCAAACATGGTGAAGAAGAAGTAGTACCTCTGCTGCTTGCAGCATTCTTGCTGTCACAGGGCAAAGAAAAGGGACCTTAAAATCCCGAGTATAGCTGTTATTTTAGCCAAAGAGCAGCTAGAGGATATTCTGCCCTGAGGGCAAATTAAGGCTTGTGAAAGCCCTTTTTTTTCAGTTTCTGTCTGTCTGAGATATGCTCTATTCGTCCCCATTAGAGCTGTTGTTTTTACAAGATGACACGTCATAAGAACATCAGTTCTCATTTGGGCTTTGGGCTGCATTTGAGGCTAACATGGCCTAGAACCATAAGCTCTAGTTTTTGACCAGTCCTATGCACGGGAAGGAGAAGGGATGAGGCTGGACATGGAGATCATATTCACAAATAGCCTTTGGATAGTATTCTGAGGTACTCTCAGCAGGGTACTCTCCCAAAGGTCTGCTTCTAACCTAGAAAACTACTCCATCCCTGGCAAAAAAGACATCCTCAGCTCGCACAGGAGGATAGAGATTCCCACTGCCTCCCTCTACCAGCACCAGCTCTGGCACTTCACAAAGTAACCAGCCACCCTCAGTGCTAAACACCCGTAACTCCTGTACAGCATCAGACACCTGGGAAGCTTACAGCATTTCATCACTGGACCCATCTTCCAGCAGTGCAAATCCACTGATGGTATACACAGAGAACAACTCCCGGAGTGCCCATGTCCTAGTTTGCTCTGCAAACTGCAGGGCCCCACTGCCTTCCAGAGCTGACGGCAGTCACTGGACTCTTCCTTCCGCCCCGGTACCTACTTGGCATAAGCTTTCTCCACCAAGGCGCACCAGAACTCATTCCTGGAGTTGGAATGGCAGTAGATGAGCTGATTATGGAGTGTGGGCAGGCGGTCATCTATCACCACGTCCAGCCATTGACCAAAGCGCCAAAACTGGAAGTGGAAAATCCCTGCATAGCTCTCAGGTTTCTCGGGGTTCCACTCCTGCTCCTTCCAGTCCGGGATGACCTGCGTTCAATGAGGGGAGAAGACATAGGGGAGACATTCACACAGATTATTTCTCCTCCTGGGGTGTCATTCTCTTCCTGGAACTAATGCAGAGAATATGAAAGACAAGGAAGACTATGAAGGGGGTGGTCTGGCTTACAGCCCCTCTGGACCATATTCCGGGGTTGGCTCTTCCAAAACAGACTAGATTAATATCTCAGGAACAATTTAGCCTTTGTCCTGTCTTGGACAGGGTAAAAAAGGGCATCTTCCTTGATCCTCTTGCTTGATTCTGGTGTGACTGGACTGGCCCAAGAGCAGGTGCTGCACTCATCTAGCTGATGGTAATTAACAAGGAACAGGCCCTCTGCATACATCTACCCTACCAAATAAAATGGAAGAAAATGAGATCTCCATCATGGGGTCCCTGGTCATGCACACTACAGAACTGTTAGCTCAGTCTCTTCCTCTGTTCTGGGCTGCTCCAACTAGCTCTCTCATTAAGAGTCTGGGATAGGATAGGAGACAGCTATATTATGTGGAAAGAGGCACTTCCAATAGTCCCAGGCCATGATGAACCCTCCCTGCGCTGGGCCTTGGCCCTTGTCCAGCTGCCCAAGCCTCATCCTTTGCTCTGGCTGCTTTTGGTCTTAGAGCCATAACCCACGCCCAGCCCTCTTTCTGCAGAACCTCCTCCTGACTCCTCAGCTACCAGAAATGATCCAGTCCAGGGCTTTTACCACTCCCAGGAATGAAGGACATACATTGAAATATTAATGATGCCATCAGCTCCATTCCCTGTGAGCTAATTGGTGTTCTTGAGTTGTCTGGATCAACAGAAGCAGAGCAGACAGCCATGAAAAAGAGATGGCTTTGGAGGGTTTGGTGTTTTCCGGGAGTGCTGATAAAGATGTGCCAGACTCCCTCTGGGACACTGCCAGGGAAGGACCAGACAGCCCTCCATCCAACCCCATTGATTCCCTCCTGACTGGAGCTCATGCTAATGAATTGTCATAGAGGACCACTGTGTTAATCAACTCACTATTAACGTGGGCTTAAAAATGATTACGGCATTGATTAGAGGCAGCTTCTCAGCCAGAGCGTGTAGCTACTGTTTCCAGCTGGCTGGTTCTTGCTGCTACCATCAGGAGGGCAGGAGATACTGGCACCCCACAGCTCCTGCTACATCCCTTCATTTGGGGACAGTGCTGAAAACATCCTCTATCACCAAAGGCAGCAGGAGCTGCAGTCTGCCTTCACATAGAGCAGCATCCAGAGACCAGCAGCAGCTTTACCTGCATGTTTGAACACTGACCTAAGGGGAAAGAGAGAAGCTCTTGCTGCTGCCAAGCAGCAAGGTGTGAGCTGAAACACTGGCTCCCTCCCACTGAAACACTGGCTCCCTCCCACAGGTCTCTCCATTTTGTGGTGAGGTGCCGAGGACACCTTGATCCAGTACCCATGAGAGACAATGTGGACAGTACAAAGGCCACTGCTGGTGACGGGCCCTCAGGGCTGTTGCTTTTGCACTTACTCATTAATTATTAGCTTTATGCAGCAGAGAGGTCCTGAGCAAGCTCACTGCCAGGCAACAAGTTCTCAGTCTCCTAGAGGGACCCTACTGGCCTCTAGAGAACTCGAAGTCTGAACAGACCATCTGAGACCCAGTTTATCCCCCTCTGTGAAGCTACAGGCAATTTTTGCTGAATGGCTTCAGCTCACAAGGCCATGAGGGCTTGCTACAAAGTCACTGCGTGGTAGACAATGCCTGACGGGAATGGAGCTCCTGGTCAATAACTGAGGCAAACACCAGCACCACTAGCCTCGTTGCTAACAAGTAAGTGGCAGCAGGGAGGGTGAGCAGCAGGCACTGACAGATTCATGCTAAAAGGGCCATGGATGGAAAATACTAGTAAAGGTAAAGCAGTATTTATTTAAATATATCAAAAGGGGGCAAACTCATAGGGAAATGGTTATTTAATAGCTGTACATGTCATCCCCAGTCTGAGGGTGGGTGTTTAGCTGTGGGAGTGCAGAGGGTGACGGAAGGAAGCAGCTCTGCCTCCCTGCTCAGCATCACTGTGGAAGAAGCCTGCTGCTCCTGAACATCACACCAGGCCCATGGATCCCTCCTGCTGCTTGATTCCCTGGCCCAGGTATCTATGAACATGAGCGGCTGACTTGGTGTGGTAGGGGAGAGGTGGAAGCTCTAGATGTGGTGCTTATTAGGACACAGTCCTCAGGACAGCCACACTTCAAGGCATATAGCACGACTTCTGCCTGGCATCGCAACCCCTGTCTGTGACCAGACATGGTATGGGCCTGTGTGTCACCTAAAGGATTAACCTCGGGCACATCTACTGATCCTAGCAGTGTGCTGGCGCTCAGATCCCCTCCAGAGGTCCACAGCTCCCATCCACTTCTAGGAATCATTCCCAGACATCTCCATTCCTCCTCACTGGACACTGGAGATCATGCCCCAGACAACCCATCCCAAGATCTCATGGTGTTCAGGACTCAATTTGGCTGTTTAATGCTGAGGCAGTGCGGCCAAGATCTCATTCACACAACTGTGTTGCTTTTCGCATAGGGGATCCCAAAATCTGGAGC